CAAGGACAACAAAATCCCAAGAAACAGAGGGCATTTCTAAACTTATATTTTAAGAAAATCAAGAATTTGAGAATCAAAATCTACTTAAGAGCTGAGCATCTGCCCTGAAAACATACAAGTTCCAGTGACTCCCTTCTGCTTCTGGCTCTCCACTGCAAACAGAGGACTTCATACGATTCTACCACTTGCTTGGAGCTGCTCAGGGAGTAGTAGTGCACCCCAGGGAGCAACTTCTAACCAGCCATCCTGGGACTATAAATCTCCAGTCAGCTGGTTTTTATTTCAGCACTTTCTGCCCCAAGAGTCTGGGTTGCCAAGTGTAAATCTTCAAGGTAAAAGAAAAAAGCTGGAGCAAAGTTGAAACAAGGGACAGAATTTGAAAATGCCAAGGTCTTAGAATTTCATTTCTGAGATGAAGGGGCTATGCTTGACTGTTCTGTGGCAACTGGAGTTGGAACTGGAATTAAAAAACTTGAATTCTAGAGATGACCTGACACATAAAATTGTCCCTTAAGCTAAAAATGGTTTCTAAAGTATCAGAAGTGATGGCTACTGGGGTCATGTGACTTGGGAAGACACCTGAGGGAAATTTCCAGAGGGATGGTGATATTCTATGATAGGGGTTTGAGTTTCAAAGGCTTGTTTAGTCCTAAAACTCACAAATGAACATGCAAAATAGGTGCATATGTAAATTTTACCCTAAAAACTGAAAGATATTGAATTCTAATGAATAGGCCTACTGAGAAAGAGGAATATGAACTGTTATCTGTTTACTTGAAATATATTAATGAACATATAGGATAGACAAATATGTGATTTAGTTAGATGTGAATGGCAAAATCCAGGTGGTGAGTATATAAGGGTTTTACACTAAAATTCTTTCTACATCACTGCATGTTTGAAATTGTTCATAAAACGTTGGGGAAAGTTTCCCAATGCTTTAGTTTTCATAAGCAAAATTACTCTGTACTTATGCATGCACAGCAATCCTTAGGGATGTCACTATAGGAATAGAAATTTCCTTCCAGTGTGCCCTCTGCCTTTTCCTAGGCCACTGACCTATCTAGTCCAGACCTTGGAAGGCCTCTCTCTTTCTCCACACTTTCATAATCAAGTCCTCACCCTCTGGGCAAAGGTGAATGCAAATACAGCACTGCCTACTCAGCTATTGGGCAGACCTTTGCATTGAAAACTCAATCCTTCATGCTGTCATGGCAAATCATCAGCATAAGTGCTTTTCTTTGCCTGGAGAAACTTGTAAAACCCGAGTACCTTGGTGTACTGTTTTAAAACCAATTTAGATATAATTCATATAAATTGCTTAACACTCCTGATTTGAAATTGAAGATTTTCTAAATCAATTCAAAAATTAAAAATTCTCTAAACAGCATGGAGAAATGACCAGTACTTGTCATTTCCATTGGTCAAGAGGAAAGGAATTAACATTTGTTGAGCCTTAGATATCTTGCTTCACTGACATTGGCTCACATAGTCCTCATAACACTGCAAGTACATATCCTAACTTTATGATGATGCTCCTGGTCATGGAGCCAGTTAACAGTAGACCCAGGTCTCAAACCCAGATCTCCTCAGTTCAAAACCATGTTCTTTTCACCAAATCATATCCTGACATTTAAAATATGCTATGTTCTGCAAAGCTCACTCAACTACAAGGACAGCAGCATTTAGCCAACATTTTATAAATACACAACTGGGTCAAAGAATAAAATTTATAAGGGCAGTTTCATGTTCTACTTCAATTCTTTAAACCACTCATCAAAAGATGTTTTAAATAGTTTACACTTTCTACCAGTCCTATTGACAAATACAAGTATGAAACTTTGCAATATTTTCCATAGCATTAATAGGTTAGGGCTTAATCTGTTTAAGGGAAATTTACTTCTTGATGTCTAGTATTGTTTACTCAAACTACAATTAAACAATCTAGCACTTAATGTTCTTCCTTACGCTCAAACCATAAAACTGTTATCCAACAGTAATGCAACCTTTTCTCCATGTTTACCCTAAGCCAGATAACAGAAGCACTAATGCAGACTACCCTATTCTTATTCTTTTCAGTGGTCCAACAACATGTCAAGAGCTTAGTCTCCTACTAGGGCCATGTTTGAAACTTAAGATTAGCCTCACATGGCAAGCAAATCATGCCCTGCATATTAACTGTGGAAAATATTTATTGTAGCTGCTTCTCTATACAAAACAGGATTGAGATCTGAAGGTGTAAGAGGGGTGGCTCTACAGATACTCTCAGGAATATCATGCTCCAGTTTATTTTTTAGTTTGGTTAGACTTCTTATAATAGGGAATTAAGGGACAAGAGTAGATAGATGCCACGAACATATACTTGCTGAAATATGCAACAACAAAAAATTTTAAGTTTTTAACCAAAGGTTAGGGCAAAAAAATCTTACTTTTAACTTGACATGTAGGCTCAGTAGAAGCCATGTGACCCTGCTGTAGAGATTTGATCTTAACATTGATGTTATTTAATTCTACTTTAAATCTAATTCAAAAATTTGCAGTGCTCATATCCAGAGGCCACTCAACCTCTTATTCTCAGAACTATCTGCTGCAGCCATTGAATCTTTGCTTTGAGGAACATCCTTCTAATTATTTTCCACGTACAATCCCAAATTTAGTAGTCTATAGCTTCATAAAGATAAAATAAACTGAGAAAACTTTTGTGATCTCATTGTGATGAGGAAATCCCCAGAGCAGAAGACATGCAGGGTACTTCAGAATAAGTGCAGGTCTTCCTCCCAGACCTACACTTGCAAATTCTAGGTCAGAGGAGCAATCCATATTTCTCGAAACTTCTTGGGGCATCTCGTAGGTGTAGAAACCGAGTTTTATTCAAGTATGTTCAATGTTATTCTATATTCAGAATATGAACCAAGAAACTGTATTACCCATGTGCAGATGCACAAATTTTGATAAGACAAAACATCCAAATTCGGGTTGGTTATGTTCTCAAATTAAGGATCCACAATAAAACTGTGGGTAAAACTTTGACTTTACACGAAGTTTAAAAGAAATGCTTCCCAATTGAAGTGTTAAAATGTTCATATTCTTCTACCCTACTGGCTATCTAATATGGATAAAAAGTTCTTAGTGTCTTTAAGTCTAAGGGTTAACATGGTAAAAGGCTAAATTAATGGCTTAGCAGGTGAATTGGACTTGGGATTTTCTCTAGTGTGTGCTTTGAGAAACATCAATAAATCCTCTAAGGTCAGAAACCTGGGGTAATGTGGATACAGTATCTGAATCCAAATTCTCATACACTCTTATTAAGGCAAAATTTGAGGCATCTGCAGAAGATGTATCTGGAAAGTAAAAATTTTTTTTTTCGTTTCTCCTTCAATATAACACACGATCAAGAGCTGCTTTCCAAAGGTCATAATTAAGATTTCCTCAGAAGTGTACCTGAACTGTTAATCATTACTATTTTGTGAAATGTGGAACTGTTTAATCACTCTAATGTGTAATTATTGTCTGGAACTCAACACACAAGTACGTTTGCCTCTAACGCCCCCTTACTGGCCATTCTAGAGAATTCACCATCTTTTTCTACTGGATATATTCAGACTCCCAACCAGACAGGAGACAAAGAGAAGAAAAACTAGATCTTAAAAAAAAAAAAAAAAACCAGCAATAAGGCAGGGAATCCCAAGACTAAAAAACACAATTGCTTGGCAAAGTGTTTTGCAAATATGACTTCTCATGGTTTTCCAGTTTGTGATCTCTAGAATGCTTTCAAACACATTAGAGGAAAAGATCTTAAGAGTCACATGCAGCCTGAAAAGGCTTGGAGCAACAATCATTATGCTAATGACACTGAAAAGGGAAGTCATTTAAGCAACTAAGCTGTCAGATTCTTATACAGAATATGAACTATTGGCTGCCAGTGTTTTCAGACTGATGTAAAACTCAACATTGTACATCCTTGAAGGCTAACCACCTCCACTTACTTTTAAATTCTTGTATCATAAATTAAAACCTTTTACTAATCTTCATCCACTTGTTTGTAGCATTATTCCTCGGTATTATTCAACCAAGCAAATTAAACATTCATTTAAAATGTTAAATAATAAAAATATGTCACAAATATTTGTAACTACACATACTCAGGGTATCCTCAAATTACTAAAACTATAGTGTAAAAGCAAACACAGTTTGACACTACAAGAGAACCTTATTAAAGTTTAGCCTTCACCATTAAATATCATCATCTGACCTCATGGATTTCAACTTTCAGTTTCTATTCTGCAGCAACTTCCCACCAACCCTGCCTGAAGGACAACGTGCTCTGATCAGGTTTTGATCCAATTCAGATTTGTTCTGTAGAAACGACAAGGGGGCCTGATCTTAAGCTGAGTGCATTTCTATGCTAAATGCTTTTTGTTTCACTAGGTGTTGTTTAAACTTATTTCACAGTTGAAAGCTGAAAGCACCAGGAAGGAAGGTAGAAACTTTCTTCCTCTTAATTTCTTCATGACTGCTGTCCAAGAAGACTGGAAAGGCAAATATTCATTATGGATTTAATTCACTTTGCTTTGGTTTTGGAGGCTTCCCTTAAGAAAAAAGAAACTTGTTAATAAGTAATAAAATCATAGAACAAGGTTAAATTATTGAGGCAGTGTCAATCACAAAAGAAAAATTTAAGTTATTTTTCTACTTAATCTCATCACACTAAATAGCAATACTTCTAAATTCTGCATTTTTGTACTCCTGAGGTATGATCAGACAAACATTTGACTCCTTATTATTTAGCAGAAATCATTCCAATTTCTCACACTGCAGTCTTTAACTACACAAAGAAGTAATATTATTTACTTGCTTTTACAGTTGTAGAATCAAAGACTTAGAGAAGGTCTCAACTGTAATAACTAGCCCAGCATCACAAATAAGAAAATGAGGGCAGGACTGAAAGAACAGTAACCCACATCTGACAGTACTTTAATTTTCCAAAACTCCAAAATCTGTTAACATTAACGCAAGTTTTATTCAAGAGATAAATATTTAAGAAGACGTAAATTCTAAACAAAAGAAAAATTTGCCAGTTAACCACCCTACAGTAAAAAGTAGAAATGGGTACCATTTATGACACATAAATAAATTCCACCTTAACGTTTCTAAATAAAGCTGTAATCACTTCTTTGTCATTTAACTTTTGCTATTTAATAAGGCTATGTGAATTGTGTTCAGAAACTTTTGACAATACACACAAACTTCAAATTGAAGTACCACCTAGGATTTTCAGTTCAGGCTGAGTACCTGTAAATACCTAGGATCTATAACTTAAAGACTGCATATTAATATATGAATTCAATTTGAATCACCTTCACTATGTTCACCAAAATTATTTTTAAAAATAATTAGATCAATGTTTATTATGACTTTATAACTCTCTCAAATTAAACTTCTCAATATTTAACATGGTAGATTCAAAAATAAATATTCAAGGCCTCTTTTAAAATTTTCTTTCAATATAATCCACGATAATAACAAATGTTAAGAGCACTATCTGAAAATAAAGCAAAGTAGCTTTCTTCTAAAACTTACATATTACAATACAGATTGCATTCTGTTCCATAATTCTGATAATCTTTTTTGGTAATGAAACAATTTAGGATGATTCATTTAAGATGATTCGTTTCTTGGGAAATCTTAATGGCAGTCACTCAACAAAATCATTCATTCTTGGAGTAACAAACACTCAAAAACTATTGCTGGCATTGACCAAGTTTCTGTTTTGTTTGGGGTTTTTTTGGTGGTTATTGCTTTAGTTGGCAATATCTGAATTTACGACAAAGAACATCTCCCATTAAGCCTTATGTGAAATATTACAAAATTCATACAGAAGACTCATAGAGGCTATAAAGCTGATGTTTTAAATAACTCACCCTTGAAATGGGTGCAATTTTTAGAGGATATCCAATAACTTTTTTGCTCTAAAAATATATGCCCCTACTTTTCAGTGTTCCCATTCAACAGGAGACTTGAGCAGCTTAACAGTTTTGCTATTAAAAAAAACCACTCTTCTTAACAAACCAAAAACGTAAAAGGAAACCAATAAAGGACATATTTTTCACAGTTAACAATAAATAAAAGTGCACTAAGTGTTCAAGTAGGGCACGTAGTTTAAAAACTACATGTGACTATTTGGCATAGGTCATCTTTTAAAGGCTCTCCGAGGGTCCCTGCTATTACTTATTGTGGTCATGACTGTTTGATTATTAGCAGCTCCTGGTAGCTGTATATTGATAGGTCCCCGGACATTGCTTCCACCAGCATATGAAAGTTGGTATCCCCTTGATTCAGGGCCAGTTTGAAGGCTATTTCCTAAAAAAGAATACAAAAAATCATCACTATCTTCAGAAGAGGTCTATAATAATCTATGTAACTACACATATTTTAAGTTCCAATATATCTATTAATGCTTTTAAATATTAGGGAAAACAAACTTCTTTTTACACTGGAAAAAAAATGCTAGTTTTAGGTTTTTACAATGTATCAGTACTATAAATACATTAACTTGATATTGTGTTAGTAGTGGAAAAAAGCCAATTTGGGCAACAAGATTAGAAAAGGAACAGGAAAAAAAAACATATGCACTGCTTATACTACCAAAAAAAAGGCAAAAAATGTTGAGTACCAACATTTTTGCTCAAATATGGTTAATTTTTCAAAACAGACAACATAATCCTTTTTTAGACGGCACAGTGTGATGATCAGTTGTGCCAAAATATGCAATCAGGTCAAATAAAGTATCATTTATTCTAATGAAATCTAATGACTTTTCCTTAATAAAAACTTGGGAAAAAAAAAAAAACCTTAAACAGGGGTTACAAGGACCTGTTAGGATAAATGCCAATCTTTCAAAAAGGCAGTTAATAATATATGAAAATTTAAGGTGTTAATTTACTATTACTTTTCAGAACTACTAATATGAATATCAGCTTTCAATGTACCAACATAACCACTAATACTGTATCTATTATAAATAACTAGATTACAAAACTTTTATAAAAATAAGTGGGAAAATAGTACCAGACATCTTCACAGATACACCAGTCTTATGTATTAGTCAATATTCAATATTATATTCCCTGAAATTGGTCCAAAATTTATAGAATGTGCTCAGTAAATTGGCTTGCAAGTACACATTATTTGCCTTCTAGAAAACATTTGCAGATTCCCTTTTTATTAGTAGTTCACCTTTAGTACTTACTTATGCCTAAAGATATTCTTTTCCTCTAAATCTTTCACACTTCCCATAATGTATATACCTAATCACAAATTAAAAAAAAAAAAAACTTACCCACTGATCCAAATGTACCTGTACCTATATTACTATTCATGGAATTAGTCTTCTGTTCATTGTGTGCCTTAAAAAAAAAGGTTTTAAATAAATGAAGATTAAAATAACACTCATTATTACAAACTTATTATACCCTTTTTAAAGTTTTAATGGTTTTGTAAAATTATCTTTTAACAATTCTTTAAAAAATTTGTCTAAGTCCATTCAATGGTAAAAGATTCAAGAATGTTCCCCAAACCTTTTTTTAGCTTCTGTTACATCCTGTATTTCCTGACATGACTCCTCACTCCACAAAATCTAAATGGTGCATATATATATATATCCGTAATATTCTATGCCCTAAACAGACTCATTGAGTATTTTTAATGAAAGTTACTTTAAAGATTATTTTTTACAATTCTCTTCATTACATTCAGGGTATCACAGGATTAGCCTCAGTACAGAACTATAGTTCACAGTCATATTAGCCCAATCATAAAAATGCACTCTATATTTGGATTAATTACCCCTTTGTTCTGCGGTCCTCGATAATCTGGGTTGGGCTCACTGAAATTTGGCACTTCTGAATAAACCATACAAAATCTGAAAGAAAATAAAGGACAAGTTAAATAGACTTCTGAAGTTAATCAACCTTTCCTTAATATTCCTAAGGTTTGGTAATGAAGAATTTAGGTGTCAAATGAATAACAAAATGCTAACTAATGCTATTCATTATAACCAGTCTCTAAAATCAGTATATCCCATTAAACATCAAATATCCAACTATCTACAACACATAAAACATTCTATTTCATATTTAAATTCTTCTATACTGCAAAAAAAAAAAAAAAATCATGTCAAAGGATTTTTGGACACAAAAACAAATCTTTGTCCAGTTTTTCCAGACAGGCTGATGCTAGTGAACTGTGTTTAGGGTTCCAGAGTGGTTTCTCCAGCAGTGGTGATGGATTTGCACTGATCCATTCACACACTCTCATCCAGTCCCTCTTTTGACCAATCACTTCGAATCTGCAAAGATAATCATCCAAGGTTAAGAGTGGATTCTGGGTGATAAAGGACAGATAACTGGCTATATTAAGCCACCAGTTTATATCGGAGCTTGTAGTGACTACATGATATGTACTAACTGACAAATATGTATTTTCTTAGTTCCTTAACCCACTAAAAAGAAACTAGAATCCATTTTAGGTAATCCTAAACAGACTCTGACAAAGAGCAGTCATAAGAAATTAAGTGACCTCCTGTGGTTCTTCATTTAACCAACCATCAAACATTATTGTAAATACCTCTGCATACGTGAAGGTCAGGACAGGTTTGGTAATACTGACCCTAAAACCTTTCATAATACTTAGTGCTAATAATACCACTCTACATATAAACATGAGTGGATCCAAATTTTTTCCTCTAGCAAAGACAAAGTGTTACTTCAGTCTCTGATTTTTAAAAAAGCTTGTAAGCTCATTTTCATCATTAACAATTTTCTCCCAACAAAGTACCTCATCCTCTCAGTGTGAGTTTTTTCTTTTTGGTGCCATTTATGACTTCTCTCTAAATATCCTCCAATTTAATGGACATTAAGCAGATGTTTAAGCATTAACCAATAGAATGGAAAAAAGATCTGGCTCATTGCCTGTACCATATTTTATGAGCACAAGCCAAATGACTAGGCTAACACGGAGGCTGAATTACCTTTACACCCCTAGAGAGGACGGTTTCTCCAGGTCTGGGTGGAGATCATTACCAGGGTAGCAGTGTATGGAAGCTCGCATTGCGGCTGCCTGCACCATACCTAGGCTGTAGATAAATAGAGGACTTCAGTTTTCATTGCTGCAAGTCCTTTTACCATGAGTACAAATTCACCCATACACAAAAAGAAAAAGAACATGTAAACTCATGGCCAGAAATTCATGCCTTGCTCTATTTTTCATGAATCACTAGATGAGGGAATTCAATTCAAATGACACCTAAAAGATGCGTGTTTCTAAAACCTACCAGAAATAGCCCCACTGAGGCTGGTCTGAATTGCCGCTTTTACTGCTGTCTGCCAGGAAAATGGATATCCTCAACATAGGATACTATACTAATAGCTGTTAAAACTAGTATCCATCAAAAAAAAGCCAATTAAGTGATTTATAGTTTATACCTACCAATTATTCTGTAAACATTTGTAATTTATTCAATTGTACAAAATGCATTTTAATACTTACTCTCCAATTTTTTGAAGTTCACCACCCCTTCCAGTATAAAGTGTCAGACATCCTTTCCACATGGATGCGTATCTAAAAAGAAACGTTAATTCTTTAGAAAGATGTATATTTCAGTCTATGTAAGTCAAATAAACCTTTATACTGTGTATTTTGTATTGGGATAGGAGTGGAAATCAGGCCCTCTGTAAATCAAATACAATTCTAGCATAAACTTGCTACTTACTAAAAAATACAAAGAAAATTATATCACCAAATTGTGACACAATTACTTAAGTTACAACACTAGAAATGAAAGAAAACTTCCTTTAGCAAAACAAGCATTGTTATGCCCCAGATGATTTAAAATTACATCTGTAGTCAGTCAATATAGGAAAAGCTTTTAATTGCAGATATTTAAGCAGAAGTTATTTTTAGGGGTTGGGATTGTGGCTCAGTGGTGGAGCACTTGCCTCATACCTGTGAGGCACTGGGCTTGATTCTCAGCACCTCATAAAAATAAATAAAATTAAGGTGTTGCGTCTATCTACAACTTTATATTATATATGTATGTGTGTGTGTGTATGAAGTTATTTTTATTATTTTCAGCCACAAGATGTAATAAGTTAACACCCCATGTTTCCTTTTACACTTATTGTCATGGTATAGCCAAATTTTAACTGCTTTTCTTCTACCTCCACAAGATGAAGAGTTCCCAATGAAGTGGTAAAGAGAACTTCTTTAGTTTTGAATTTTCCTTTAAATTGTACTCCTTAGCCAGCACAGTGGCACACAGCTATAATCCCAGTGGCTAGATAGGTCGAGGCTGGATTGCAAGTTTGAGGCTAGCCTCAGCATTTAGCAAGAGACTATCTCTATAAATAAAAAATACAAAGGGCTAGGGATGTGGCTTGGTGGTTAAGTGTCCCTGGGTTGAATCCCCAGCATCAAAAATAAATAAATTGTACTTCTTAACCATTGGGCCCCTTAAATAGTATAGCTAATGAGTTTTAGCTTTTTTGACAAATGTTTAGATGGAAACATCATGACTGACTACAGTATAGGAAATACTTGAAAAGAGATACTGTTTTTTGTATAAAGTAGTTTTAATCACTGGAAAAAGGATATTCTGGGGGGTCAAAAAACTTCAATTAAGCTAATCCTTACCACACTCTCCCAGGTAGGAATTTTCTTTTGTGTAAATTGAGGATGTGGAAGTTTAAAAAACATAATTAGTGTCATAATGAGTCAGTGTGCGAGAATAAAATGTCTAAGTCCTGACTCTCATTTCCTGCTTTGATGATACTCTACCTCACTTCCTGAAGATGTTGTAAGACCTATAAGATAGTATCAAAGAGCTCTAAGCTCCTACACCCAGGGCACTCAAATATTTCCTTGGATTCTACTCACTAACCAACATCAATCTCCACCAACTTTTCCTGTAGTTATTACAATTCTATTGATCACAAAAGTTCCCAGCTTCTGTTTTCAAGACACTTTCCTGGCCTTTTGTCTTCTTAAGATAAAGATTTGGCAAAAATTTTAACTTAGTCTATCCAAAACAAAAAAGTGCTAAATTGTTTTTTAAAACCACCAATTTGCCACCTGACTCTTCTGAATGAAGGTATCATAGAAGTCTTTCTGCCAAACTTTTTCTATGTACATTTTGGCCTTACCACATTGACCTTAGGACACAAAATAGAAAAAAATCATTTTACAGAATGAGGCTTCCAGACATTGTCTAATTTCTGAGTACAAATTTGTACCACAGAAAATACTAAATCTTCCAATTAGTTTTCTGTCCACAAAAATAAGTATTAAAAAAAAAAACTATTGGAAGGATTTCAAGTCATTAAAAAAGGAGGAGATAGAAATGAACTAAATATACTCAATTAAAGGTTTAGAAAAGATTACGGACTATACCAATCTACTAGAAAGACTCAATGACTCCAAGGCCAGTATTTTAAAACATAACTACCCTGTAAATTGGAGGGAGAGGAAATGAATTTCCTGTCTGAAATCTACCGAGTTTACCTGCAAGGTTGGGCTGCATTCCAACGAAGCTCATTAATATTAACACCAAAGGGGCTCAAAACTTTAGAGCAGCCCACAGAAAAGGTATGGAACTTCAGTACTTGGCAGGATCCCGGGAGCCAGCCAATCCAGAATCTGCACTGTTAGGCTCACCGGCCCCCCACCCTCTTTTACACACCTACCCTCGGGTCAACCGAATAATATCCCCTGGCTGTATGAGACCTCCAATCTCATCCCACACGGAAATAGTGATGCTGCCCGTTTTATCTGCTACTTTGCACGATCTGACTTCATGGCCGTCTTTGGTTTTGGTCACGCGTCCTGTGAAGATTTAAAAATCAAAAGGGAGAGGGGCGTATTAGATTAACGAGGACGTCCGAAGAAGCTATTCCTCCTCCGTATTTTAATACTTTTGGAAAGAAGAGAGGCCGAGCCCTGGCTTCACACCGCCTTGGGATCAGAGCGCCGGCGGGGGCCACTGGGACCACGTGGGTGGGGGAGGGGATCGGGGAGGACGGGCAGGGGGGAGGGGAGCCCCGGCTCGCGCCGGCGGCGTCCTTCCCTCCGAACCCGGGGCGCACATGGGGCGGTGGGGTGGGCTGCAGACCCCACTTACCTATCTCCAGGACAATAAAGACGACATTTAAGTTTTTCAGTCCGGGCTTAATATCTTTTATAAAAAGAGGTGGGTCGTTGACCCCATTCATATTGAGCAGGTGCGGCTACCGCTGCAGAGAGGCGGACGGGAAGGGCGGGGACAAGGCTTCCCACCCTCCCGGGCCAGGGGCGAGGGCGGAGGGACAAACTGAGGCTGGGGTTGCCAGAGAATGGGCAGAATGCGGTTATTCAAGGAAACCAGCGCTGGCGGCACTGAGCCCAAATTGGGGGGAGGGGAAGAGGGGGTAAAAAGGAGGGGGGGAGCGCTCACAAGTTCAAAATTAAAAAAAGAAAAAAAGAAAACAAAAAGAAAACCCGAACCACTCCGCACGCCAGCCGGGCTCCCAAATGGGCGACCGGGAGGCAAAGGTAAGAACTGCCTTCTTTGGATAAAAGGAAGAAAAAAAAAAAAGACAGTGAGGGGACACCTCTGTCCTGAGTCCCGCTCACACACACACACGCGGGCGCGCGCCCAGTCTATCCTGGACTCGGAGAAGGGATCTGCTGTGACATCAAAACGGGAAAGAAAACTGCAACCGCACACCCCGCGTCCCAAACTGCGACTGCCGAACGCGCCCGCGCGCCGGTGGACTACCAGGCAGCCACGCCCCTTGTGACGTCAAACGGCGTCGGCACGCCCGCCACCACGCCCGCGTGGCGCAGGGTCGGGGAAACCAAGGGATGGAAAAGAACCAACGACGCCCACGCAGCTTCCTTAGCTCCTCCCCCGGGGCTGTCAGTGCTGGCCCCGCCCCCAGCCTGCCAATCCGCTTTCGCCCCCGCCCTCCGTCGCTGCGCAACGTCAATTCTTCCCTGCTTAACTTTCCTGCTGCCGGCTTTTACTACAAGCTGGCCAACGTCAGGGTCTTCTTCCCTTTCTCTCCTTGCCACTCAGCGTTCGGTCCCCAACCCATGCCCTTTGGTCCTGCGGTCACGGGAACGATTGAGTTTAGGATTCAGCGGGTGCAAAAGTATGCAATTGAATTAGAACAGGGCTCTGGCATGGTTAGCTGTGTTCAGGATCAAGGAAAAACGGGCTGGGATGGTGAATGGTTCCATGGTTGTAACATTGGAGTTTTCGGACCAGAAGGGAATTTGGAGATCAGCTCAGCTTCACCATTTTAAGCATATTTAAACTGGGATCCAGAAAGATGAGGGTTGCTTGATGAAGATCATACAGGCAGCTCAACAGGCAGGTCTTCAACACAGACCATCCTACCTGGTCTTTCACTTTTCACTCTACAAAACAAAGAAGATAGACAAGCAGTTAAATATCTTTGCAGACAGGTTTCCTTCGTCATTTGACTTTTCTTTTAATTTACACTTGTTTTTATAAAATCAAAAGTAATCATATATCAGCGTCGGGAAACCCTGAAACATAACCTGAAGAAAGAAAAAAATGTGCTTTAGAAACAAACCTGGCCTTGAACTGTTTACCAGTTGTGTGACCTTTGGTCCATAATTTAATCATCAGAAAAACAGACCTGGGATCCCTACCTCATAGAGGATGAAATAGGATCAGAAAACATTTAACTCGTGTCTAGCAAATGGTTGATGGATACTCAATATTTTCTAGTAGCCAATTTTCTATTATTAAAGGAAAGAGTAATCGCTTAACACTGATCTTTTCATGGGTCCTTTATAGGGAGTGCTAATTTTAATCCCCATTTTAAGGATGAGAAAACTCACCAGAAACCACATAGCTGGAGAATGATCAAACTGGGTTCTGAATGTAGGCAATCTTTACTCCAGAGGTCTCCGGCTAAGAAATATTTTTATATTTAAAGTTCAGTGGTGGGATTATTTAAAACGATGGAAGAAATAAGGTGGTAGCAAAAGGACAACTAAAAATTAATTCTTAAAAAAAATAAGCATCTAGTTAACTGATCATCAACAGAAATGTTGGGAGGCATGTCAAAGAATTTGTATGTAAGAAACATGCAAGTTTTTTCTCCTTTCTGATTATCTGCAAGAATAGCTATATTATTACCCTAAAAAAAGTTTCAAAAATAATCACAACATTAGTAAGAGAGTCAAGATTTTTTTCTAAAGAAGCAGAAGCTTCCAGTTCACAGACAAAAGGGCTCAGAGTGCCAAAGACAATGATGTAATATTGGAAAATGGTGTAAAATAATATGATGAGCATGATTTCTACATCAAATGAAAACATGCCAGTTAATGGCAGAACTAAGGTCCAACCTTAGGTCTCCCCCAGACTCCAAATCCAGAAAAGAACTTCCTGTTCACCATGGTTATCTGACAGACACTTCAATCAGACATTCCTCAAAGCTTATTTTTAATGCAGGCAAAACACTCTCATATGAGCAATATTTAAATCAGAACTTTAAAAAAAAAAGTTTGATGAGTTCTTAAAAAGATACAAACAGGAAACCAATTAAGAATGTTAAGTAGATTTGTGGCCAAGTATTTGGCAAAGAAAGTTAGCCACTCCTGAAATTCTCAGTTATTTACCCCCAGAAAGAGGAGATTATGTAGGGTTGCTCAGACTAATTATGTTGACATTTTATAAAGAGGAAGCAGACACTTAGGAAACCAAGCCCAGCAAAAGCAGAAGCTAGTGCTCTGCTTTTGCTGGCCCAACCCTTCCCAAATCTCCCTCCCCCACTATACAGCTCAGCTGAACATCTCCTACTTCCTTCCCTAGTAACTCAGCAGTTCTCAGAAAGGAAATGGCAACCATATGCTTTTTCATTAACCAAAACTAAAGACAGCTTTGAGAAACAAGATAGTGCAGGCAGTATTGGAATTTTTTAAGTTAGGCTAGTTGGTTTCAACTACTCCCAAATCACTCCCCAAAGGTGATGGTTAGTGAAAAGAGAAAGGGGATGTGAAGAACAATCACTAGGCAAACAACCTTTCCCAATATTAACGTTCAATTACATAAACAAGGAGATCTGCCACTCAGTGCACCCAGTTAGGTAATAATTATTATATTGCTGATTTTTTAGGATATTCACACTATTACTTCACAGTCTTCTGGTCTTCTGCCTTCTAAAGCTTGTGTGTTCTTTGGACCTTCTTTGTTTTTCACAGCCAAAAATAAACTTATTCTAAAATGATGGCCTCTTCTACTTCGTGCCCAGAAACTCAACACCATAAATTTTCATGAAGGGATTGCTTAGTGAGACTCAGTATGATACAGAAAAGCATCCACTAGAATTCTGTATTAAAAGGTTTTCAATATCTCATTGATAAAAGTCCTCATTGATAAAGGTTTCATGTAAATTGTGTCCAGCACCCACTACCTATACTCACTTACAGGCTTTAGTTTCTGGAATTATTAAAATCATTCCCACGTGGCACTATCCATTTATGTAAAACAATTACAAGAAATGGGCGTGGTAGTGCATGCCTGTAATCCCAAGGGATTCAGGAGGCTGCAGGCAGGAGGATTGGAAGTTCAAAGCCAGCCAGCCTTAACAACTTAGCAAGACTCTGTTCCAAAAAAAGAACTGGGTATGTAGCTTAGTGGTAAAGCACCCTGGGTTCAATCCCCAGTACTAAAAAAAATAAAATAAAATAAAAAAGCAAAAAAATAAAATAACCACCACCAACACCATTACCAACAAAAAAAGAACTAGAACTATTACAACATCAAAAAAACAGCTCAACAAGGACTGTTTGATAATAGATGGTTAGTGTGGTGAAACTAAGAATAAAAAAAATTTAGAAGAACCACAGTGTTCTCATGTTACATAAATAATCCACTTTGTAACATAATTGGCAAGGTAAAAAAAAAAGTCTTAATTTTCTTTAAAAGATTTAACCAAAAGGCTCAGAAATAATGTTTAGTTATAAATGCAGTAGTAGCTACACAAATCAGAATGATCAATGCTGACACACCCTGAGCATCTGCTCTGTGCCAGGCCTATTATACTTATAAGCACTTACCACTTAATATGTTACTTAATATGTAAAATGATTGTTCTGATTTTATAGTGAGTTATGGAGGTATGATTTTAAATTAACTGGTACATATAACTTTTTCTAAAAACAAGTTATTTGTCCTAACATGTCCCTTCTTTGATTATCTAAATGGGTAATTTAATTTCTCAAAGGTTTTGTAAATCACCGTGACAAATTCAGTAACATGTGATCCCCGGTGTCTGACTGTGTGGAGGCAGTGGAATCTACTTGTGAGAAATAACTTTGTAGTTTCTCTTAATCCCTTAACAGATTAATTCAAATCAACTGATTATCTTTTTAATGACAGAGGCTTCTACATTCTCAAAAGCTTCTTCAAGTGTACCATACTTCTAAAAAGTTGCTCAAATTTATCATTTATGAAAAATAAAAATATTTCCATCAGAACTAACAGGGCAAAATATTTTTTTACTGGTGGAAGATTTATTTAATTGGTTCAGATATCATGGTCCTCATACTTTAATGGATATTGTAGAAAATCCAACATATCACATATACAAACTGAGCAGTAAAGGTTTTTGCAGAATAAAAAGTCCTGCAGAATTCTAAGAATGCTGTATGGTGCTGATGTTCCCAGAACACTGGGAATGAACAGATATGAATGAAGAAAACAGTGTATAAATCTAGCTTTCATGGTCTCAGAGCCCTACTCTTTAACAGGCCTTACAAAAAGTATGTGAGAGACCCTATCATCATGCCTGACACACGTTAGAATGGACTTGAGGACTATACAGAATTCTGACTTACTATCATAGTTTCTCTATAGTAAAAATAGATGCTCTCTTATTTTGGAGCATTAGCAAGCGCTCTCTCTCTCTCTCTCTCTCTCTCTCTCTCACACACACACACACACACACACGTAAATCACCAGGAAGAAACAATACATGTTTCCACACAAACCCCTAATTAAGAGCATTTCTTATATGAGCAAAGTGTGTCCCAGGTGGAAGGATGCTTCCAGATAAAGTACTTACTTGAATCCTTCATTTTGTGTATTAAAGAACACAAACCGGGAGATAACAGGATTACCACCTTCGTCTCCTAATGAACTAATGGATCTCAGTCATAATCACCAAAGGCCGCTAATATCACAAAAAGAGAGACAACCAGTTCAACCAATTAAATCAGAATCCCTCAAGGTGGGACACAGGCATTAACATATTTTAAAGTTCCCTAGGTAATTTATAATGTAACTAACTCTGAGAACTACAGCAGGTAAAGCAATTTGTTTTCTCAGAATTTTCTTTCTCTTTCTTCCCCACATACTTCTTAATACTCTGGAACAATGTTTCCCTTATACTAACTAGGGAAAACCTGTACTGATGAATTTCTAGGAGTGAAATAATTGAGTATTTAAGACTTCTGATATATATTATCAAATTACATCTTGGGAATTTAGAAGAGACTTACACTTCCATTTGGTCTTTATATAGGCATTAAACTTAATTCATTAATTTATCCAACAATTTTTTATTAAACAATCAATAATGTGCCAGCACTGAGACTGCATCTGTAAAAAGTCATACAAAAATCCCTGACATCATGGAGCTTTCATTGTAAGGGGGCAGAAAGTCAATAAAATAAATAAATTATATAGTATGAGAGAGCATGATGAGTACTAAGGTGAAAATTAAGCAAGGGAGGGGAAAGAGATATTGCAGGTAGAGATGCAAAGAGTGGTCAGAGAAGGGGATACTTGGGTGAAGATACAAAAGAGGGAGCAAGAAACCCAGGTGGACGTCTGAGTTTAGACAGTCCAGACAGAGAGCCATTGAAAAGGTGTG